CCCCAAAACCCCAAAACCCCAAAACCCCAAAACCCCAAAGGTATAATTTAAAATTGAAATTTAATTCCTAAATAAAAATAATATTTTAGAAATGGAGGAGCCACTTGATATTAATACTAATCTTGAAAGGTAAGCTTTGAAGTTATTCGTAGAGATTTAGAAGAGATTAATCAAAATGACTTTGCTGGCACTAGTCAAAGTTTAAAAACCAAATCACATCTCATCCCTGATATGGATAAACTCCCAATGTCTGACACAGTCAATCCTTTAGTTAAATAAATATTCTTATAAAAACGTTGGGAGCAATGGTGTGATGAGTGTGGAGCCTGAAGTGTTAAATTTTGCTGGATTTTATGAATTGAACAAAACTTATACGATGAAAGCAAAGATTATCAACAGTTCCAACATTCCTCAAAGAGTCAACATCTTACCTCCGATGACTCCATTCTTTTCAGTCAAATATTCAAAGAAAGGAATGATTCCTACCAACAGCGCTGAAGAAATCTATGTCCAGTTCAAACCCACAGAGTATAAATATTACTATGACTCAGTCAGAATCCATGTCTCTGGAACTGGACCTAAAGGGTGCATTATATTGCCACTTCATGCGTACCCAGTCATCAACCGGACTCAAGAGCGTCTTCTCCCCAAACTTGTCAACATGAAAGAGTCTGCCATTAATGAAGGAGTCGCCAAGAAAGTTCTTTACATTGAGAGTGACACCCCAGTGATATTTGAGTACGTGATCGAATGGGTGGAGTCCCACCAAGACATCAATGTGTCTCCAATGAGTGGAGAAATCAAAGCCATGGGCAAGACTCCCATCGAAGTGTATTACAGGCCTTCGAGCAACACTACTGCAAACGCCACTTTCAAGCTCACTACGACCGAGTTCAACTGAAAGCCTTGCACGGTCAGAGTGGTCGGAGCAGCCAAGCCAGGCGAAGTGGAACGCAAAGATGTTTCGTATTATTTCGACGAAACAAGGCCGCAAGAAGATGATTACGATGCTAGTGGCTCAAAGACTCTGCTTCGGAGCAAGCCATCAAAGTATACAAGGAGACCAGGATCAGGTATCAAACTCAAGAAAATAGATCAATCTCAGCTAAGTCATCAGCAATGGAAGCCTACAGAGTCAGCTAGAAAAACCGTTCTGAGCACAAATCGAACAAAGACTCAGGCATCTGTCAAGAACATGGGCGAAACCCAGATTGGAGATGATGCATTTGCAACAGTCAAAGCCAAGCTGACTCCAAACGAACAAGATTTCATCTTGAAGTACAGGCAGCTTGAAGAACTCGACAAAGTCAAAGAAATCAAGTTCTTTCAGTGACTTGGAGACCCTCCAATCACATCAGATGAAATAGGAGACTTCAAGCAGAAAAGGCAGGACTACATCGACGAAACCAACTTTGCCAGGTTCGAGAACACCAGATACGCCACCGAGACAGACAACGACAGAGTTGTGGTAGACACCGACTTGCCCATGGAAGTCAATCCGCAGCTTGACCTGTACCAGAACAACCACTTCGAACTCAGAAAGAGATGTCTGAACCTGATGCTTAAGTATGTAAACCAGATGGTAATTCGCCAGAGAGCTGGCAAACGTCTCATGCAGCTCAAAGCCAAACTCAAAGAGCAGTCAAAGGCGGCTCTTGAAGAAGGTAAACAAGTTATTCTTGGGGAGTGGAGCTTCAACACTGAGTTCGAGAATCCGAAAATGCCTGTGGAAGCTGGACTCACTTCAATCAAAGAAAAAGTGGAGGCCCAAATGCCCACAAACTTCGACGATATGGCTCCCTTCAAGCCTATCGAAGACCTTGACTTTGAGATCTACAACTACAAGCCGTTTGAGATTCCGAAGATGTCCCACTACATTCCGGTCCTTGACGACAAGCCACTCAGACAAGGCTGAGAACATGAGTACGCCATTCGTGGGCCCAGAGGAGACCCGCTATCATATGTAAAGCCTCACCAAGACAAAATCATTGAAATGCCTGAAACCATTAGAAAGCCGTTTGATGTTCCGAGAACTCACCTGATCATGCCTCATCCGACGATTAGGTCGTATGTGCCATACAAAAAGTATACTGAAATTGACCCAGAGTTTTACCTACAGCCCCACCCAATCCACAGAGTGATTCCAGATGATGACCTGACCACCAGAGGCACACTGACCAATGACTTGAGTCTGATCAACAGCGACATCCCAGGGTACGTGGGAATTAACACGATCGAGAAGATTCCGCTCGAACACTTCGAGCCTCAAGAGTACAAACGGAGCCACCTCAGAGAAGGCCTTGCTTGCGACAGAACTCTCGAACGCACATTTGAGAAACTTCCGAAAGCTGATGAAGTTGACTACCCAAGCGATGAAGACTCTGGCAACGAAGAAGAACTTGACGAAGAAGTCATCCAGCAGCTCGACATGGAAGAAGGCCTCGAAGACAAAGACTCCGAGTTCATTGATAAAACTGACGGAATTATTTCGATGAAGTACTAGAACCTCCCAATTAGTCAATTTGTCTCGGGGTTTTGGGGTTTTGGGGTTTTGGGGTTTTGGGGTTTTGGGG